TAGACTATAGACTAGACTAAGACTAGACTAGATAGACTAGACTAGACTAGACTAGACTAGACTATAGACTAGACTATAGACTAGACTATAGACTAGACTATAGACTAGACTATAGACTAGACTATAGACTAGACTATAGACTAGACTATAGACTAGACTATAGACTAGACTATAGACTAGACTATAGACTAGACTATAGACTAGACTATAGACTAGACTATAGACTAGACTATAGACTAGACTATAGACTAGACTATAGACTAGACTATAGACTAGACTATAGACTAGACTATAGACTAGACTATAGACTAGACTATAGACTACACTATAGACTAGACTATAGACTACACTATAGACTACACTATAGACTAGACTATAGTTAAAATATATTAGTTGCAAATGACTCGTTTCTTCAGAATGCTCAAAATTTCCCATTGGGTTTTAAAACATTTTATCGTAACAAAATAACTCCAAACACCCACATCTGAATATTGGAAAAACTATTCATATATAATTTAGAGAGTGTGCTATCACACGTTTTTTATTTTAATATCACACTATTATTATTAATTTTTTTCCACAAAATCATCAGACTAATATTTTAAAATATGTATATAAAGGTAAAACTAGAAAAAAAGTGTGTCTTTCTTCACAAACAACTAAACGCAATTATTCACACACGCCTCTCTCCCAGTCATTTCGATAATTCATACACTTCATTCATCCATTTAGTCAGTCGTTTCAGTCGTCGTCATTCATTATTAGTTTTATTATTATTGTACCGCTAAAACAGCCAACAAACAACAATGGAACTATTTTATAAACATAGTTTTGCTTTTTGTCTACTCATACGTCGTACTTTTTAAATACAATAGAGATAGATTTTATTTGACAACCTTCAGAAAATTAATGGAGCAGCATTTTTGTTGTTTTTGTTGTTGTTCGAGATAAAATAAATTATCATTTTAAAATTTTAAATTTGAATTCAAATCGTTGTTTAATCGTTAAGGACAAAATGTGGGCGTATTTTAGTTCAAGCAAGAAAAATTCTTTTAAAATGTCAGTTGATTGACCGAACCGACCGATCGAACGAACGAAATGAATGAATGATCGTTTAAAGCCCTCTTAGGAAGGAGTGTTTGGGGGCAAAATGTTAAAGATTTTTTACAATAAATAGAAATGAAATTTAAATTCATAATAATAATTGACAAATACTATTGCAAACATACTGTTAGAAACAAATAGGGTTATGTTAAATTTTAAGAAATTTTTTTATTTTTAATAAACGTATTAAGCATTTATTTGTTTTCCTATTTTTACAAAATTTTAAAGTCCCCTTTACTTTATTTAAGTCTTTCCTGCTTAGTTGTTAAAATTACTTAGACCATTTTGCTTCTAAATCTTTTTTATCATTACTTTTACTTTTAATATCATGTTACCCTGACCAATATTTATTTTTTCTTTAATTAACTTTAATTTTGTTTTCTTTATTTTAATTTTTTAACAAAATATTTTATCTAAAATAAAATATTTATTATTTTTTTTATTATAAATTGTTTATTTAAGGTATTTTTTTGTTTAAGCTTGTATTTCTTTAGATATAATTTTGAATGTTGACAAATTAATCATTAGATAAATATTTAATTTTTAGAGAATATAAATAACGTTAAATTTATAATGATTTTCTGAAAAAAAAAAAACTTTTAATGAAAAAAAAAAACAAAAAAAACAAAATTTTAATATTTTTTTCATAAATTTTTAAAAGCAGTTTTTTTCTGGCAGTTTTCTTATAGAACAATGTCAATTCATAACAGTTTCCTTATGTTTGAAACATTGTCTGGTATGACAGTTTTTTATTGAACAGTGTTTGTTAAGAAAGTTTTCTATAGATCAGTGTCTTTTAAGACAATTTTCTACAGAACAGTGTCTGTTAAGGCGGCTTTCTATAGATCAGTGTTTGTTTACACTGTTTTCTATAGAACAGTGTCTTTTTAGAGAGTTTTCTATAGGTAGCCTTCTATAGATCAGAATCTGTTTAGACTGTTTTCTATAGATCAGTGTCTGTTTAGATCGTTTTCTATAGAACAGTGTCTGTTAAGGCAGCTTTCTATAGATCAGAATCTGTTTAGACAGTTTTCTATAGATCAGTGTCTGTTTAGACCGTTTTCTATAGAACAGTGTCTGTAAAGGCAGCTTTCTATAGATCAGAATCTGTTTAGACAGTTTTCTATAGTTCAGTGCCTGTTTAGACCGTTTTCTATAGATCAGAATCTGTTTAGACAGTTTTCTATAGATCAGTGTCTATTTAGACAGTTTTCTATAGAACAGTGTCTGTTTAGACCGTTTTCTATAGATCAGAATCTGTTTAGACAGTTTTCTATGGATCAGTGTCTGTTTAGACCGTTTTCTATAGATCAGTGTCTGTTTAGATCATTTTCTATAGAACAGTGTCTGTTAAGGCAGCTTTCTATAGATCAGAACCTGTTTAGACAGTTTTCTATAGATCAGTGTTTGTTTAGACTGTTTTCTATAGAACAGTGTCTGTTGAGACAGTTTTCTATAGATCAGTGTCTGTTTAGATCGTTTTCTATAGAACAGTGTCTGTTTAGATCGTTTTCTATAGAACAGTGTCTGTTAAGGCAGCTTTCTACAGATCAGAATCTGTGTAGACAGTTTTATATAGATCAGTGTCTGTTTAGACCGTTTTCTATAGAACAGTGTCTCTTTAGACAGTTTTCTGTAGATCAGTGTCTGTTTAGATCGTTTTTTATAGAACAGTGTCTGTTAAGGCAGCTTTATAGATCAGAATCTGTTTAGACAATTTTCTATAGATCAGTGTCTGTTTAGATCGTTTTCTAAAGAACAGTGTCTGTTAAGGCAGCTTTATATAGACCACAATCTGTTTAGACAGTTTTCTATAGATCAGAATCTGTTTAGACAGTTTTCTATAGATCAGTGTCTGTTTATACCGTTTTCTATACAACAGTGTCTGTTAAGGCAGCTTTCTATAGATCAGAATCTGTTTAGACAGTTTTCTATAGATCAATGTCTGTTTAGACTGTTTTCTATAGAACGGTGTCTGTTTAGACCGTTTTCTATGGAACAGTTTCTGTTTAGACAGTTTTCTATAGATCAGTGTCTGTTTAGATCGTTTTCTATCGATCAGTGTCTGTTTAGATCGTTTTCTATAGAACAGTGTCTGTTAAGGCAGATTTCTATACATCAGAATCTGTTTAGACAGTTTTCTATAGCTCAGTGTCTGTTTAGTCCATTTTCTATAGAACAGTGTCTGTTTAGACACTGAACAGTGTTTGTTTATACAGTTTTCTATAGAACAGTGTCTGTTTAGATAGTTTGCTATAGATCAGTGTCTGTTTATATAGTTTTCCATAGAACAGTGTTTGTTTAGACAGTTTTCAATATAGTGTATTTTAAGACTGTTTTCTCTAGAACAGTGTCTGTTAGGACAGTTTTCTCCAGAACAGTGTCTGTTAAGAAAGTTTTCTTTATAACAGAGCCTGTTATGACAGTTTTCTATAGAAGAGTGTCTGTTTAGACAGTTTTCTATATAAATCAGTGTCTTTTAAGACTGTTTTCTCTAAAACAGTGTCTGTTAAGGCCGTTTTCTCTAGAACAGTGTGTGTTAAGAAAGTTTTCTTTAGAACCGTGTCCGTTTTGACAGTTTTCTATAGAAAACAATGTTTCCATAGAACATTGTCTGTAAAGAACAGTTTTCTATAGAACAGTGTCTGCTGAAGACAGTTTTCTATAGAACAGTGTCTGTTAAAACAGTTTTTTATACATCGGTGTCTGTTAAGAATGATAGAAGAGTTAAAGATCCTTCTATTTAAACATAGTACTGCTCTTAACTCTATATATTTTCTTGGAAACAGATACCATTTGAATTTGTCCTTCAAAATATTTGATTTTTAACAATAAAAAAAAAAAAACACAACAAAAGCTTTCTTTTGAAAATAAACACAAAAAATGTTAAGGAAAACAATAACAAGTCAGCAAAATAAAAAAATTCAAGATGAAACGATACGTGTAGGAGAGCGAGAGAGAGATACCAAGGAGTAGAGGCAGAAGTAGAAGAAGTATTCGAGTAGACGCGGGCATTCCATCATGTTGTTTAAAAAAACATGATAATCAAAAAGTCCATTAACTTTGATTATGGGTCATTAATCAAAAATTCTCATATAAATATAATATTTCATACCCGCAAAACATTGCAGCAGTGCAGCTAAAGAAACCAACTAACCAACCAACCAAGTCAGCCTGGCTGACAGTCAGACTGGCAACAGTTTGGGTATGGTTGGCTCATGGGCTGAGTGACTGCAACAAGTCAGGAGGAGGTTAGTGTGGTTGTTCTTTTGATTGTTTTTTTTTACCAATGTCGTTTTAGAGTAGAATTTTTAGAGTCGCATAAAAGGTTTTTCGATTTGGTTGTTGTTGTTGTTGTTCTACGTGGTTGTTATTTATTTGGTTGTTATTGTTGCAGCGCAAAACGAGTAGCCACAAATTAAAAACTCAAAAAAATGCAACAACAATGTTGCATATATCTACTTTTTTTGGTGGATTTTTTCTTTCTTAGGTTGTTTGCAAGTCCGTCCGTCCATCCAACTTCTCCCTGTCGTTCATATTTTTCAGCTTGAATTTGTATTTTTTTCTTCTTCTGATTGCTGCTGTTGTTGCTCGTAAATATATAGATTTTTTTAAGGCAATTGCAAGACATTGCAATGACACGAAGAATGCTGTTGCATGTTGAACAAAAAGCCTTTTTTTCATTCGTTCTTTCGAAATTTTCTTCTTGCTTCTTACTTCATTCATTTAAGAGAAAGAGTTTTGTTGTTATTGTGGCAACTGCTGCTGTTTAGGCTTCTGTTAGTAGTAGAGCTTGGCTGTTGACTACTGCTGTTGTTGCTGCTGCCGCCGCTTTAGTTGGTGTAGTTTATGAGCCTGCTACCAACAACGGTTGTTATGGTTTTGGAGCATGTTACTTCTACAACTTCTGCAACTATTGCTTCTACTTCTTGTATTCTTGTACTACTACCATTAAGAGTGTCAGTTAGTGGATGGTTGGCTGGTCTGACTTGCATCATGTTTTTGTTGTTGTTGTTGTTGTTGTTGCTGCTGTTCTTGATTTCGTTATAGTTGCTGCTGTTTTCACTGTAAAAATCAAGCTCACATTAAACACCAAAAACTGCTACTGTGCAAAATATATTTTTTTGTTTTTTTTTTTCTTTTAATTCTATATATTTGTTGTTGTTTTTTAATCGGTCTTTTACACTGAAGGCCAAAATGCAGACCTAATAAAAAACATAATGAACTTTGAAATGTTTCGGAAATCAACAAAATCTGTTTTATATTATTCGGGCAATCAGTTTTCTACACAACAGTGTCTGATTTCTTAAGATTAGTGTCTGTTAAGACAGTTTTCTATAGAACAGTGTCTGTAAGAAAGTTTTCTCTAGAACAGTGTCTGTTAAGACAGTTTTCCCTAGAACAGTGTCTGTTAAGACAGTTTTCTCCAGAACATTGTCTGTTAAGACAGTTTTCTAAAGAACAGTGTCTGCTAAGATAGTTATTAAGACACTTTTCTCTAGAACAGTGTCTGTTAAGACAGTTTTCTCTAGAACACTGTCTGTTAAGACAGTTTTCCCTATAAGAGTGTCTTTTAAGTCAGATTTCTATTGAACAGTGTCTGTTAAAACAGTTTTCTCTAGAACAGTGTCTGTTAGGACAGTTTTCTCTAGAACAGTGTCTGTTAAGACAGTTTTCTCTAGAGCAGTGTCTGTTAAGACATTTTCCTCTAGAACGGTGTCTGTTAAGACAGTTATCTATAGAACAGTGTCTGTTAAGACAGTTTTCTCCAGAACATTGTCTGTTAAGACAGTTTTCTAAAGAACAGTGTCTGCTAAGATAGTTATTAAGACACTTTTCTCTAGAACAGTGTCTGTTAAGACAGTTTTCTAAAGAACAGTGTCTGCTAAGATAGTTATTAAGACAGTTTTCTCTAGAACAGTGTCTGTTAAGACAGTTTTCTGCCGAACAGTGTCTGTTAAGACAGTTTTCTAAAGAACAGTGTCTGCTAAGACAGTTATTAAGACTCTTTTCTCTAGAACAGTGTCTGTTAAGACAGTTTTCTCTAGAACAGTGTCGGTTAAAACAGTTTTCTATAGAACAGTGTCTGTTAAGACAGTTTTCTATAGAAAAGTATCTGTTAAGATAGTTTTCTCTAGAACTGTGTCTGTTAAGACAGTTTTCTCTAGAACAGTGTCTGTTAAGTCAGATTTTTACTGAATAGTGCTGTTAAGTCAGATTTTTATTGAACAGTGTCTATTAAGACAATTTTCTGTAGAACAGTATCTGTTAATACAGTTTTCTCCAGAACAGTGTCTGTTAAGACAGTTTTCTCCAGAGCATTGTCTGTTAAGACAGTTTTCCCTATAACAGTGTCTGTTAAGTTAGATTTCCATTGAACAGTGTCTGTTAAAACAGTTTTCTCTAGAACAGTGCCTGTTAAGAAAGTTTTCTCTAGGACAGTGTCTGTTAAGTCAGATTGCTATTGAACAGTGTCTATTAAGACAGTTTTCTCCAGAACAGTATCTGTTAAAACATTTTTCTCTGTCTTTTAAGACAGTTTTCTCCAGAACAGTGTCTGTTAAGACAGTTTTCTCTAGAACAGTGTCTGTTAAGTCAGATTTCTATTAAACAGTGTCTGTTAAGATAGTTTTCTCTAGAACAGTGTCTGTTAAGACAGTTTTGTATAGAACATCATTTATTAAGATAGTTTTCTCTAGAACAGTGTCTGTTAAGACTGTTTTCTATAGAACAGTGTCTGTTAAGACAGTTATCTATAGAACACTGTCTGTTAAGACAGTTTTCTACCGAACAGTGTCATTTAAGATAGTTTTCTCTAGGACAGTGTCTGTTAAAGCGGTTTTCTATAGATCATTATCTCTTAAGAAAGTTTTCTATAGAACAATGTCTGTTATGACAGGTTTTTATATAACAGTAACTGTCAACAGTGCTTTATGACAGTCTCCGTTAACAGTTTTCTTTAGAACTCAATCATAAGAAGAAAAATTTAGCGAATAGAGGATAGAATAGAAGGATAGAGAACCTCTTTAGCTGTTTAGTTTTATTCCAGATTGTCTTTCCTCATTTTAAACCCGGCATATATGAAAAAATGAAGGAGAGATTGACATACATACATGCAGTCAAAGATATGTGTGTATGTACATATATTTGTTGCATGTATGCATTTATATTTTGTAAAAGAAGGGAACAAATCTTCCCCAAAAAATACTATTTTGGTTAAAATTGTTGTGGGGTTCTGTATACTTACTAAGAGACAGCAACTGGCAACTGCAAGAACAACAATAACAACGAGCACAACAACATCATCTGAGTTATTGCTGCTTATGGGGCAAATATTGTATGCGCACGCGCGCATTCGTTGCAATGCAAACGATACGTTTATTTGAATGTTTCTTTGGTTCGTTTTTTTTTTCTGATTTCGTATTATACGTTTTTTTATATGTATTAGTATTTTGTGCATGTGTATTGTGTTTTTCGTAAGAGTATGTATTTTGTAGGATATGTACGTGGAAAGAAGGCTGTTTGTTGTTGGGTTTTGTTTTAAGATTGTGAATATCTGAAAGTTATTTGTGTAAAAGTAGTGAATACAGAGGTGGAGAAATTCAAAGGGGAATTTAAGGAATAAAAGTATAGAACTTGGATAGTCTATAGTCTGGTGTACAGTCTAGTCTGCAGTCTAGTCTATAGTCTAGTCTATAGTCTAGTCTATAGTCTAGTCTATAGTCTAGTCTATAGTCTAGTCTATAGTCTAGTCTATAGTCTAGTCTATAGTCTAGTCTATAGTCTAGTCTATAGTCTAGTCTATAGTCTAGTCTATAGTCTAGTCTATAGTCTAGTCTATAGTCTAGTCTATAGTCTAGTCTAGTCTATAGTCTAGTCTATAGTCTAGTCTGTAGTCTAGTCTTATAGTCTATAGTCTAGTCTATAGTCTAGTCTATAGTCTAGTCTATAGTCTAGTCTATAGTCTAGTCTATAGTCTAGTCTATAGTCTAGTCTATAGTCTAGTCTATAGTCTAGTCTATAGTCTAGTCTATAGTCTAGTCTATAGTCTAGTCTATAGTCTAGTCTATAGTCTAGTCTATAGTCTAGTCTATAGTCTAGTCTATAGTCTAGTCTATAGTCTAGTCTATAGTCTAGTCTATCTTAGTCTAGTCTATAGTCTAGTCTATAGTCTAGTCTATAGTCTAGTCTATAGTCTAGTCTATAGTCTAGTCTATAGTCTAGTCTATAGTCTAGTATAGTCTAGTCTATGTTCTAGTCTATAGTCTAGTCTAGTCTAGTCTATAGTCTAGTCTATAGTCTAGTCTATAGTCTAGTCTATAGTCTAGTCTATAGTCTAGTCTATAGTCTAGTCTATAGTCTAGTCTATAGTCTAGTCTATAGTCTAGTCTATAGTTAGTCTATAGTCTAGTCTATAGTCTAGTCTATAGTCTAGTCTATAGTCTAGTCTATAGTCTAGTCTATCGTCTAGTCTATCGTCTAGTCATAGTCTAGTCTATAGTCTAGTCTATAGTCTAGTCTATAGTCTAGTCTATAGTCTAGTCTATAGTCTAGTCTATAGTCTAGTCTATAGCTAGTCTATAGTCTAGTCTATAGTCTAGTCTATAGTCTAGTCTATAGTCTAGTCTATCGTCTAGTCTTAGTCTAGCTTAGTCTAGTCTATAGTCTAGTCTATAGTCTAGTCTATAGTCTAGTCTATGTCTAGTCTATAGTCTAGTCTATAGTCTAGTCTATAGTCTAGTCTATAGTCTAGTCTATAGTCTAGTCTATAGTCTAGTCTATAGTCTAGTCTATAGTCTAGTCTATAGTCTAGTCTATAGTCTAGTCTATAGTCTAGTCTATAGTCTAGTCTATAGTCTAGTCTATAGTCTAGTCTATAGTCTAGTCTATAGTCTAGTCTATAGTCTAGTCTATAGTCTAGTCTATAGTCTAGTCTATAGTCTAGTCTATAGTCTAGTCTATAGTCTAGTCTATAGTCTAGTCTATAGTCTAGTCTATAGTCTAGTCTATAGTCTAGTCTATAGTCTAGTCTATAGTCTAGTCTATAGTCTAGTCTATAGTCTAGTCTATAGTCTAGTCTATAGTCTAGTCTATAGTCTAGTCTGTAGTCTAGTCTAGTCTATAGTCTAGTCTATAGTCTAGTCTGTAGTCTAGTCTATAGTCTAGTCTGTAGTCTAGTCTAGTCTATAGTCTAGTCTATAGTATAGTCTAGTCTATAGTCTAGTCTAGTCTAGTCTAGTCTAGTCTAGTCTATAGTCTAGTCTAGTCTAGTCTAGTCTATAGTCTGTAGTCTAATCTATAGTCTAGTCTATAGAAATATGTAATAATTTCAGATAAAATAAAGTTATCCTAAGGAAACTCGATTCAACCACGTTCTTTACTGAAATTTTTCTTAAGGAAAATAACATATCAGACCAAAAAACACTACAACACAAACATTTACATACATACATATGTTTGAGTATATATGCATTTGTGTGTGTGTACATATGTACATATTATGTATTTCTTAGGAATTTATTTAGAACAGAATTTCAACTGCTTTAAATACTTTCAGATTTTCGTCTGTCTATCCGTTTGCAATTTTGTCTGTCCTTGTTCTCTGTCTGTCCCCAAAACTTTTTACGAGTATGGCAAATGTTTTCGACTTTTAAAATTGCACGTACGGCTACAACAACTGATGAACAAGCCTGTCTTTTAGGCTACAACAAAAACATCTATAAACTATATATATGTATGTACGTACGAGTTGGAGTAAGAGGTAAAACCTCTTAGGGATGTTGAAGTTGTGCTGTTGTTGTTCAATTCTTGTTGTAGTTGCAACAGTTGAATGCTGTTGTTGTTGTTTGTTGTTGTTACTGCTGATCATGTAGCCCTCTGAGGCATTTTAAGGTAAATACTATATAAGGAATTTTCTGCTGTAAAACTCGTAAAGTTCCTTGGCATCCAGAAAAACTAAAGACCAGAAATGATTGCGAATTGGCTTGCTGCACATTTT